GGTAATCTATATTAACCACAACCATGCTAACTTGTACACTGTCATCGCTTTTGAGTAATTCCTTGATTGAGGAGGTGACTAAGGTGCAGAAGAGGCTGGTGTGACTCGTTTCTGCAGCAAGTCCGTAGGCAGTTTGGGTGAAAATCCAAGCCTGTGGCTGCACAGCATCACACACCTTCAGACTCATTGCCAACCAGTGGGCAAAGTACCTCGAGCCTTCCATACTGAAGTAACATTTAAAAATGCAAACTGGCCCTGGCCAGTTTGGCTCAGCGGTTAGAGCGTCGGCCTGCGGTCCAGAGAGAGACCTGGGTTCGGTTCCCGCTAAGGGCACGTACTTCGGTTGCAGTTTGTCCCTGACCCTGGTTGGTCGTGCGGGTGGCAGCCACTCGATGTGTCCCTTCACGTCGATGTTTCTCTCTCTCTCTCCCTCTCCCTTTCTCTCTCTCCCTCCCACTCTATCTGTACAAAAAATGGAAAAATATCCTCAGGTGAGGATAAAATAATAAATAAATAAATAAATAAATAAAAATGCAAACTGGGTCCCACCGGTGTGGCTCAGTGGTTGAGCATTGACCCATGCACCAAGAAGTTGCTAGTTTGATTCCTGGTCAGGGCACATGCCCAGGTTGTGGATCCAATCCCCAGTGGGGGGCATGCAGGAGGTGAACAATCAACGTTGTTTCTCATCAATGTTTCTATCTCTCTCTCCCTCTCTATTTCTCTCTCTCTAAAATCAATAAAGGAAAAAAAAATTTTTTTAATGCAAACTGGGATTAATGAAACTCAGGATAGTGTATTTACTAATCTATGTCTTTAAGGAAAGGATTATCCCAGAAACAGAATAAAAATGCATGATACACAAGTTTTATTCTTTTCTTTATACACACAAAGAACTCTGTTTTAAGTAGCTACAAAGCAAACAATACATCTTTCTTTCAAGTTTACCTTTTCCTTCTGTGGTATTAACACCTGAAAAAAACCCATTCTTAGGTAGCCTGGAGCAAATGGGGACGGGGTGCTTGTCACCCTGTTAAGAGTCTCCAAGGAAGGTAGAAATGTTAAAGAAAGGCAGTTGTAACCTGGAGCAAAAGTCGACCTAATTATTTATGATTATATGTCATGGCTTTTTTAAAGGTAACCCCCTCAAGTAAGCCAGTTGTGTGTGTGTGTGTGTGTGTGTGTTTTAAATAGAGCAAGTTGTATTGTTCTTGCAATATTCTTCATCCCCTTAGCTTCAGATCAATGGGCATTCTCTCCCTCCTGCTTAAATTGAATTAAAACAACAACAACAAAAAAAAAACAGGCCCTGGCATTTCGTTTGTCCCTCAATGTTTTATATGGTTATTTTTTTTAAAGTTAAATAACTGTTAAGTTTTTTTAATCCCCCCCACCTTAAGAATGCTGCTAATGACACTGTCCATGAAACATAGGAAATATCATAAAGGAGGAATACTACAATGTATTGACTCTACCATGTGCCAGGCACTTTATATCGGTTAGCTGCTTTAATTGTCAAAGAACATGGTGAGATAGGTTTCAAGGTATCTATATTATTGCAGATGAGAAAACGGAGGCTTTGAGAAGGGACACATTTTACCGTGGGTCTGAGCCAGAGGTCTACCAAGACTCACCCCAGCGTGTTTTCCAAGTGGGCCCAGCAGTGGCGCGGAGACAGAGCGCCAGGCTCCATCGGCGCTAACTCGGACCGAAGCACCACCCCTCCAAGCCCGTTTGCTTACGTGTAAAGGAGGCATCATTACAACACCTCTTGGACGGTGGCTTCTTAGAAGGGCACTCACTTCCTTAGCCTGGGAGCTGTTCTCAGGCCCGGGCACCTCAGTCCCCTCTGCTGGCCTCGCTCACCCCTGGAGCACCCCGCCCCCCGCCGGATTCCTGGGACGCGTTCTCCCATGGACCCCTTTCCCACACTCCTTCCCCTTCTTCCCTCCTTGCCGCTCGAACATCCTCAGCAGGTGCACTAGGAAGGAAGGCGGCAGAACGGGAAGGCGAGAACCCACAGCTGGTCGGTGGGGCTCCGTGGGCTGGGGGAGAGACAGTTTCCTTTTGGGAGGGTCTTTCCGTTAGTAACACACCCTGCGGTGACATTGATCTGGAAAAGTTAGCAGGAAGTAAAATGACCAAGTCGCTTCTGTGGCCTGAGAACGTCACAGGGCACTTTAAAGTTAAAACAATGGAGTAACAGATACCCGAGAAAGAAAATGTGAGTTCACAATTTTTTTTTTCAGCCAATGTGATCATTTTACTACTTGACCTAACTGTTGCCATGTGACCCTGCTGTTTCCTTCCAAGCTTCGTGCCCACCTTTCCCAGAATGAAAGCTGCCCGAGAGCAGGCCTGGGTTTATTTGCTGCTGCACCCAGGGCACCCAGGACAGTTCATGGTGGCGGTCAGCGGTGTCACAGACAAAAGAATGGAGCCATCAGGCCTGTCTTTGCTGAGGCTGCTATAACAGAACACAGCAGACTGGGTGGCTGAAGCAACAGATCTTTATTTCTCCAGTTCCGTAGGCGGGATGTTTGAGATCGGCACCGGCCGATTCGGTGTCTGGCCCCTCCTGGTGTGCAGACAACCCTCTTCTCCCTGGGTCCTCACATGGCCCTTCCTTGGTGGGTGTGCTTGGAGGGATCTTTCTCCACCTCGTCTTGGGGGGTCACTGGTGCCATCATGAGGACCCCCCTCATGTCCTCATCTAACTAATGACCTCCTCCAGGCTCCACCTCCAAGCACACACCCTGGGATAGGGCATAAACAGGTGCCTTTGGGGTGCGACACAAGCAACACCTTTCCTCTTCCTGGGCCTAAAATGAGGTGACAGGCGGAGGTCCGATGGTCCTCCTGCTCTGACGCTCTGGTGTTCCATCCCCAGGAGATGTCTGTCTAGTAGGGCACCCATGAACCAGGCTCTGACACTGCTAGGCACTGTGCAAGGGGTGGGGTTAGAGGGACAGGAGACACAAACGCTGTCACATGCGGTGCCAATGCCTGCCCAGTGCTGGGCAGAGTGACTGGGACAGAATATAAAACAGGAGTGTATTGTTCTTCTGCAATCTTCTTACTAGATACTTGATGACCTGTGCACATCATTAGCAGCTCTATGACGCAACTATAGACTGGAGTCAGACGGAAGCGGGGAGGAGCAGTATTTCACACAGAATGGATTCCCTTGAGTGGGAGGCCTCCCTTTGTAATACTGAGGGCCTGCTTACCTGCTCAAAAGGTACAGGTAGGGCATCTGGTCTTGAGATGGAAGCAGGAGGGACCCAGCACAGGGTGGGCAGGGTTATGACTGCAGGTCATGGGAGATGGGAAAGCAACTCTGGTTGGGGACAGTTTCAGGGAAGAGAGACTCTGGCTGGGATTGGAACTACCCAAGCAAGGACAGCCTGGTTAGTGCCAAGGCAGGGAGCAGACCCGCTGGCTGGGACAGGAGGGCGAGGGGGTCTTGAATACCAGCAGGTGCTGACCAAGGCTTTGAAGTGACTTACTTCAGTGGTTCTCATATCTATGCCTCCAAGAGCACTGGAGTTTTAAATATTGGATCACATGGAAAAAAAAAAAGAACTCCAGCCTAATCTCCAAAGTAAAAGAAATATGCTACATTCAGGAGTATTATTTTCCTTTCAGATTTTCTTATTTGGTGACTGCCTGTTCTTGCTTCTCTCCACCAGAATCTAGGTCAAGGACAAAAGCTGGTTCAGCACAAAGTTAGATGAATTATCTTACATTTAATCAATCAATATTACAAAGTGTTCATGCTGCATACAACCTCATAATATCCAGGTGTGCGGGTACCTATAAAAGGGGGGACTTCTAACCTCTGTCCCACAGGAGGGCTGCCCGAGGGCCCGTCCACAGAGCTCGCTGGCCTGGCCTCCTGCTAGTCGGGGGCTGTGGACTCGTGGCCAGCAGGCTTCTGAGTGCTGAGCACAGAACAGGGCTCCTCTCAGGACTTCCGGTGAACTGCACGTGAACCTGCTTGGCAGGTGGACTTCTGTGGACGTGGCTGCGTGCAGGCCACGAGAGAGCGCCGGGCCCAGGGCTCGGAGGCCTGGCCTGGGCTCAGGCGAGTGCGCCCCATGGCTTTGCAGCCAGAGGTACACGGAGCCGAGGGAAGAGAAGGGGGAGCAGCCCTGTGTGTGTGGCACACAACGTTAGTTGCCGAGAGGGACAGAACAGAGAGAGAGAGAGGCCAAAAAGTATCAGGCAGCAGAGAAAACCAGAGACACAAGTGTAGCCTGGGCACTTGGGGAAGCTATGTAGACCCGGTTGCTCTCTAGTGCCAATCTGCCAGGGCAGGCCGAGGGGCTGCAGGCAGGTTCTCGCAGGCCCTGGGTAGGGCTCATCCCCTGCCTGTCTGTTCCCTCCCGGACCCGGGTGTGGCAGAGCAGAACAGGACTGATCAAAAAGGCGAACAGAAGCATGAACATCCCCGCTGAAGCCCAGCAGGACTGCGGCTCAGGGAGACTGGCACCGCAGGACCTAGGACAAGACAAGGACAAAAGAAGCCAGAGTCAAAGGCAAAGGGACCATCGGTGAGGGGCAGGGTGGAGAGCAGGTGGGGACAGAACTGCTGGGGCGAATCTGGCCAGGGGAACTTGGTGGTCAGGGCTGGTCCCCAGAGGTGAGGCCTGGGGTCTGAGCCAGGGAAGATTATAAATGGAGCAGGCGGCTGGGTGTCAGAAGACCTGGATTTGAATCCTGCCTCTATGATCTGGACAAGCCACTGTACCTCTTCAAAACTCAGCTGTGTCACCTGTAAAGCCAGGTAACACCTAGCTAAGTGGTGATGACCAAGCACCGGCACCAGGAACCGGTGAGGCTGTGGAGAAACGACCGGCTCCCACGGTAGTAAAGGAGAGAGCAGAGTTGGGGTGCAGGTCAGCACCGCCTTCAGGGAGGAAGGGGCCCCTCCTTTCTGACCAGGCCGCTCTGCACTCGGGTGTCGGGCCCCAGACGTGCTCACCACGTCACTCGTGCTACTGCTCCGGCAGCTGTTCCAGGAGCATGTCCTCAATGCCGCTGATCTGCAGAGAGAGCGGGAGTCGGAGTCCTGCCGGGAGTCTCCCTCCACGCCAGGCTGCCGCCGGCCATTCTGTTCTAACTTCTCTCTAGTCCAGTCCTTTAAAAATCTGCAGTGGTTAATTCCCTCCTTCCCTCCCTCCCTCCCCTTCTTATTTTGGTTTTTGGTGCGGACATGGAGGGAACCAATATTCCAGAGGCCAGACGTGGGAGACGGGAGCAGGGCCAGCCAAGATGACCGGCCGGGTCCCGGGGAGCACACTTGCCTCGATGTGGTACACTATGCGCCAGAAGCTGGAGTCTGAGCCTCGGTACCGCCTGCCAGGGTACAGCTGCCACATCAAAGGCAGCAGGCTTGGGGGCAGCTGGCTGGGGCGCATGGCCTCCCCTCGGGGGATGTCTTCCTGGCGCATGAGCACTTGGATCCCATCTTCTATCTGCTGAGAAAACAGGGCGCACCTTCAAGGCTCCTCCAGGCACAAATAACCAGAGTCCCTCCTGCCACCTACTCAGCCAGCTGGCGCCTGTGACGCCGGGAACCCCGGTTCTAGAAGCTGCACTCCTTACGCCACGTGTGGTCCTCTCAGGGACCCTGGCGGGGCTGGGATGCCCAGTACTGTCATGTGTCTAGACACCCACACAGGGTCACAAAGGCCCACTGGTGGCCAGGGTGTGCCACAGGGCCTTCAGCTTCTTCACTTGGCATCCCGGGGCCTACTTCAGCTGAGGTGGGGTTTTCTTTGATGTCTCTATTTGGTCCTACATCTCCCTTTAACAAGATACCCCAGACCCCAGGACCAGGGCACAGACTGCTTCTCACCATTCCCACCACTGCGCCTCATCAGCATCTCTCACCTGGATAACAGCGATGACTTCCTGCCTGCCACCTTGTTGGACGTGCACCGCACAATATCAGTTCTTGGCACAGCAGCCAGGGGGGCTGTCCAAAAGTCAGTCACTCTCCTCCCTGCTTGACCCCCTCCCATGCCTTCCCACGGCAGGCAGATCGAACTGAAATCTTTACCATGGTCCACAGGCCCATGTAGCCAGGCCCCTTCTCCCTCCTCTCCTATGTCTGTCCATCACCTTCCAGTCTGCGCAGGCCACACAGGCCTCCCCACTCTCTGGGACATGCCACACTTCAGACTCTTGCACCTGATGTCTTCTGCCTGGGACATTCTCTCCTGATCTACACATGGCTTACACTTTTCTTTCAGGCGGGAGTCTGCCCAAATGTATGTCTTCCATAAAGACAAATTTCAGCAAAATCCAAATCTATGACATACATAAGAAGCATGCCTCCAACAGAGTTCTGAAAGGTTTCAAGTACAAGGTAGACGCAAATTAAGACTCTCAAGGGATCTTGCAGAAAGACCCCACTCCCGTCTGGCTGTTGCCTCTCTCATCTCACTTTAGTTCTCCCAACAACGTACCACCAGCCCCAGTTGTCTGTGGTCCTTCCCCATCAGGAGAAGGTCAGCTCCGTGAGGAGTGGATTTGATCACGTTCACTGTGAATCCCTACAGCCTAGAATCGTGCTTGGCATACCAAGCAGGCACTCGTGTTTGTTCATTGACTATCTTTCCAAAGTGGAAATCGCCTTTTAAACTTTTCTGTCTATGAAATAAATGAAAACTCACTGTTAAAAACATAATTCAGATCATCCTGCAAGGTGTACGTGTGGAAAGCACCATTCTCACTACATACTGCGTTCTTAGTATGTTGTAGTCCGTACCCTTCAACCATTTTTAGTTTGCTTATTGATTTAAGTGAATTTTTACTATTAAGAATACTGGGCCTTTCAGTTATGTGGGCACATCCTGCCCCCCAGTTTGCTAACGGGTTATGTGCCATGTTGAAGATATTCCCCAGCTAGAGATTAAAAAAGATATATCTGCTTAAGTTTTCTTTAAATACTTGAATTTTAAATATCAAATATTTAGAAAATATAGATAACAAATTTTATTAGATTAAAGTTAACAACTGCTTTGGATCACAAGTACCATGAGACTAAAAAGATAGGCAATGATCTGGGAAAATGTATTTGTAGTATGTATTACTGGCAAGGACCTAGTATCCAAAATATGTAAACTATTTCTTTGAATCAATAAGCTTAAGACTAATAACAAAAAAGTAGACAAAGGTTAAAGGTTTGATTACCGATATGTTTGAACATCCTTAGAGGTTTGTAAATTGGTCTAACACATATGGAGAAGAATTTAGCATTACCTAATATAACTCAAAATACGCATACAGACCCAGTTTAAAAGTATGTATATGTATATTTTGAAAATTTAAATGACAATGAAGATGCAAATTTAGGTGGTGGTGAAGAGCCTGGAATGCCAACCCCACTATCTAACTAGCAAGCAATACTTCTTTGGATAAATTTACATTTTTATGCCTCAGTTTCCTCCTATGTAAAAAGGGGACACAGTCACTATCAATAACTTTTTGCTGTTTGCTATTTTATTACATACATGTTCTAATATCATGTATTTTAATTTTGCTTTTTATACATTTTTACTTCGGTTTACATATGGAAAGAGTTTCAGCATTTTCCACCTAAGTTTCTGAGGAAAGCCACGCTCTGATGGAAAGTACTGTAAGGGAGATTTTTTTCTTTTTCGTTTTCTTTTTTTTTTTATCCTCACCCGAGGATATTTTTCCATTTTTTGTACAGATAGAGTGGGAGGGAGAGAGAGGAAGGGAGAGAGAGAGAGAAACATCGACGTGAAGGGACACATCGAGTGGCTGCCACCCGCACGACCAACCAGGGCCGGGGACAAACTGCAACCGAAGTACGTGCCCTTAGCGGGAACCGAACCCGGGTCTCTCCAGACCGCAGGCCGACGCTCTAACCGCTGAGCCAAACTGGCCAGGGCCGTTTTCTTTTTAATTAATCTTAACTGAAGCTCCATCTTAAGTCATCGCAGAAAATAAAGTCAACATGTATTCAATACCGGCTTTTATACTGTTATTTGTATACGTTTGTGAAGTTTGTTTCTTTTCAAAGCATAAAGGAGTGATGAAATATCCTCAACTCTAGGGCAGTGGTTCCCAAACTTGGCTGACTGCTGAGGGTCCTTTTATAATACAGATTTCTGGGGCTAAGGCAGCTGATAAGGGGCCATGTGTATGAATCTCTTAATTTAGGGCAGCGATTTTCAACCTTTTCATCTCATGGCACACATAAACTAATTACTAAAATTCAGCACACCAAAAGAATTTTTTTTTTTGCCAATCTGAGCAAAAAAAACTTATAGCTTTGATTCATTCACACTGGAAGGCTATCATTGTCCTTTTATTTGACAGTCTACGGGAAAAGAGGTCCGTGCCTCTGACTAAATAGTCAGCATTGCATGTTTTAGTCTTGCGCACACCGGGCACACCAGTGCGCCCCGCACATGGCTCAAACCCGCTGCTTTAGAGAGCTATCATTCCCATGATATGGATTACAACCCTGAAACCCAGAAAATTCCTATTTTACTCAGGATCACATTCACACACTCCAGAGGCAGTGGGTCCCCATCCTTTGGCCAACATGCCTGTGCCCACGCTCCTTCCCAGCCTGGGGACACCTTCTCATCCTCAGAGCCCAGCTCAAACTGGCTTCACCTGTGAGCCCCGCGGGCTGCCGGGCAGGTCAGACCCTCCGCGCTTCGCGCCCTGCTGCACCCCGGGGGCTCCTCGAGGGCCCCCAACAGCCTGGGGCGTCCCTGGCACCAGGGCCTGGCCAGCGATGGTGCCACCCATGCTGCCCTGCCCGGCCGGACCCCAAGGCCACTGTACCTCGATGGTTATGGGCAGCCACGTGCGCTGGTTCTCATCCACGTACACAGACTGCCGCCAGATCCACAGGCGGTCCGGGTGCAAGGTCGTGTGCACCAAGATCTGGAACTCTCCCATGACACCTCGGACAGTCCAAGGAGCAAGCGCTGCAGCCTCTCAAAGCCTCTCGCTTGTTGATGGGACGCAGGGCCGTGATGCTTTATAGCGGGATGGGGCTCCGGCGCCCCCAAGCGGCGGGGCGGGGCGCCGGGCAGATAAGACAGCGCGGGGCAGGATGGGCGGGGTGCAGGGCACCCTGGGGCGACCAGCGGGATCTGGAGCTGTGCGTACAGGCCTGACTTCTGCACTGGGACACTAGCAGCATCTTCTAGGAGCACAGAGGGAGCCCCACAGCCCCAGGAGTTCCTCAAGGCCCCCCAGCCAGTCAGCCTTCCTCTCTGACCCCCACTCCCCATTGATGGTGAGGCATCCAGGCCTGTGGCCTTGGCCCTTCTTCCTGAGGTGTCAGCGTCCTGCTCTTGAACTCCCTGGTCAGAGTCAGCTACTTTGTGTGGCTGGTCAAGTCACAAGTGGGACCGGACTCCAAGCCTCTGTTTGGAACTCACAGTCAACACCCGGCAACAGTCAAGCCCCCCGCCCCGCCCTTTCTGGGACCAGAAGACACCTGTGCAAGCCTGACCCAGGCCTGGAACCCCCCAGGTTCATTCCATCAGCTCCAGCCTGTAGATTTGGGTGTCATATTAAACGTCTTTGGCAAAATGCAAATCTTGAACCCCCCTGCCCCACACCAAACACGCGCATTCTCCGTGGCTTTGACTGTTGTGGTATCTAAAGTTGTGAAACATGGTTGTGAAGAAGCATGCGGTTTGCCCTTTCGAAGGGAAAGGTGGTTTTTACTTCAGTGTATCCTCAGTACTCTTTTTCATGTTCTGGTGATCCCACAACCATAAAATTATTTCTGTTGCTACTTCATAACTGTAATTTTGCTAATGTTATGTCTTAGGCAACCCCTATGGAAGGGTGGTTGGACCCCCCCAAAGGGGCCACAGGCTGCTGTACAGGCTTTGAATTCATTAGTGAAAACATCATTCAACAATCAGTACTTCAAAGGAAACCCTTCCCTCCACCCCAAGGCCCCCGTAAATCTCCTGGGTTACTTGATAAAAGGTCTCCCGGTGAATTACCTCGAACAAGGAAAACAATGTTACTTCCCGCTGCAGTCACACGTGCTCATTAAGGCAATGAAGGAAATAAAGAACAAGGAGAAACATTGTAAAATTGTCTCCAGCCTCATCGCTCCACCCGCCTTGTTTAGCAGTTTGTTGCCTCAGCTTCTAGCTCTTTCCCGTCACTCTGCCCAGGCACCATGAAAATAATTTGTGGTCTTTTGAAATGTCCTGAAAGTGACAATCAGTGTGACAGCTGACCTCTGGACAGCAAAGGTCTGCGTCAGTTTTCTGCTACCCAGACAGCCTGATTCCTGGAGGCGTCTGGTGGCCAAAGGCGGTAGAGATGGAACGGGATTTACCAGGAACAGAAACTGGGAGACAAAAGCCAAGTTTGGAGTGGAGGGGAGGAGACGTCGGCCCAGCAAAGCTTTTTCCTGGCGCAGCCCCTGGCAGTGTTAGTACTTAATACAATTCAGACTTGTGGCTTTCAGGCTGATTTCCTTGTTGATTGTTCTTAATTCCAGACCCAGATAGCCACGGGGAGCGAGAACCTACGATAATTTGCTCTGTGGGGAGGGTCTCAGCCCGGTCCTGAGCTCTGAGGTCAACAGTGGTGACAAGGCCAGCTTAAACAGTACTACTGGGTGGCCTCTTGTGACAAGGGAAGGGGGCACCCAGGAGCCATGTGGCCACTGACCCAGCCACAGCCGTGGCTCTTGGGACCTAGAATGCCACCGGGTCTGCCAATTTCATCAGCACTTGTTCTGCTTTTCTAAGGAGGCCACAAAGGAACAAATAATGGGACCAGAGTCAGACCCATTAGGCTGGCTACGCTCCTGAATGTTCTGGGAACATGACCCCCGCCTTTGAAAGAACAGTATCTTCTGCAATTTCACATGAGGGCAAAATAATGCATCCTTCTTGTGGAGGATGTAGAACATCGTTTGAGAAGGGTTCCCGAAACTGCAGAGGGAAGAAGGATGACTGGGAGCCCGTTGGGCAGCTTCTGTGGAGGCCTGAGCCTTTTCTGTGGAAATTTCACGAGAGGGGAAACAACAGCTCTGTGTGACCTCAGAGACAGGGGCCCCCTCCAGTGTGGTGCCTGCCCCTTCGTAGGACCCCATGGCCCCTCTGCCTCACTCCGGAGTCTGTACTCCTTCTAACACTTTGTTAGCCTGCCAGCTACCTACAGAAAGTAACACAGAGGACTTATTTTGACTCATTTTAAGAACAGAATCTTTAAGTGATGCATTCATGTCCTGGTCTGGATCCAGTTTTGCTTTTGGCCTGTGACATTTGCTATCTCATTCTCACACCTTGGTAATGAATGGCCCGAGCTCAGTGCTCCAAGCCAGAGCCGAACTCACCAGTCCCTGACCCTCCGATCAAGTTGACAGAGGAGATGGATTGACTCATGACCTGAGTTCAGGAAAGCCATTGGTTTGGAGCAGGGTGGTTTTGCGTGTCAAGAACCCCAGTTCTCCAGGGAAAAGGAGGCTCTCCTTGTTTGGGTTCCAGCCAAGGGGCCTGAGAGAGTGCTAGCCGTCAGTGTGAGCTAGGGTCTTGCTACCCTACAGGTGGTCCCCGGCCCAGCTACGCCAGCATCACCTGGAGCCCAGAGACCAGCAGGATCTCCACCTCCCCAGACCGACTGAGTCAGAATCTGCGTTGTGACAAGATCCCCAGGTGATCTGTGGGCATGGGCATTTTTAGTCTCCAGTGGAAGGATCAGGAGGGCGGGAGATGTTGCGTGCCAGCCTCATTCCATCGGTTCCTCTAGATTTCTCTAATTATGCCACAGAGCTGAATATGTGTCTCCGTGTCACTTGGTTCTAGGTTATCTCCTTTTCTGCTAAAATCACTTCTACTATATAAAGTGTTTTCTCGTAAGAGCAAATCCTGGTAGGCACGGTCATCCTATCCATCACTCGTTATCACGCCGGCCGTAGGGCCTGCAGGAGCAGGCTCTGCAAGGGCCCCAAACCATTAAGCTGGCGGACGGCCACCTGGCTGCTAATTAGAAGCCCCTAGAAAGCATATGTAAAACACCTGTGCCTGGGCCCCACTCCACACCAGTGAGACTGGAATCTCTGAGAGGGAGGCTTGGGAATAACTTTTTTTTTTTTTAAAAGGGTTGCTCGGTGATTGAATGTGTAGCCAGGCCTGACAAGCACTTCTCTAAGATGTGATCACTGTTTTTGGAGGTGGGAACAAGGTTCATAAAGCTAAATGACTGGGAAGGTGTTGAAGCTATTCTTTCCACCATCAATTCTCATCGTAAACCTCACCCTAACCCACCCTTCACTTCGTTCCCTACGCCCAACTTTAAATTCGCGGTTTGCAGTCCTCCGTGTGCAGGGAACCATAACACCAGGAGTACTGGGATTGTAGGGGTCCGAGAGCTGGCCGACGGGTAAGACATAGAAACTCTGAAACGTAGATGTTCAGGCATCCATGCTGGTCGCTGAGAGTGGTTTTTTAATTGTTCCTAGATCTGGGCCATATTTTGGATAATTAAGGCTGACGAGCAAATGAGCTCAGGGTGAGAGGGATGTTGTAGCCTTACTGCAAAGGGAGGACACCTTCTCTGGGTTAACGGAGACCCCAGGACAAGGATATTCTACGGAAAACTCAGGGACTGACCCTAGCTGTCGGGCTGCCTGGCTACTGTCTCTCTCTCTCTCTCAGCTTAACAGGGTTTCTGTGTTTATATCCTAGGTCAGAACCTAGTTGTATCTTAACTTTTCCAAACATTGAGCCTATCTCCCAAACACTACTGAATACATTACCTTTCCCCACAAGATTTCTGACACCACCATTACTGAATAGCAGATCTATTTCTGGGCTCTATTCTGACCCATTTGTTTGCCAGTATGGTAAAACCACACCTTAAACAATTATAAATTTGGAATACTTGGTGGGGTAGGTCCTCTCTTTTTGTTCCTTTTTAAAATCGTACTTTTACAGCTCTATGTTTTTTTGTTTTCTAATCCTCACCTGAGAATATTTTTCTATTTCAGATTGAGTGGGAGAGAGAGAGGAAGAGAAATGGAGAGGGAGAGAGAGATACATCAACGGAATCTGGAGAGTTTAGGAAGACCTCTTTTATAAGATGGTATAACTTTTCCCATAAAAGTGTTGCATATTCTGTTTGGCTTACTTCTAGACATCTTCTAGTTTTATTGCTTTTGCAAATGGCATTGTTTTAAATGCTACTTTCTGGCATAAAGGAACGCAATTGAGTTTTAGCGTTGACTTTATACCCCGCGTCCTTGCTAACTCACATTAGTTTTAATGGCTGGTTTATATGCAAACGAGAGCTTTTTCCTCCTCTTCCGTTCCAGTCCTTACACATCATCACGTCAGTCTATTTGTCTCCCTCTCTTCCTCTCAGTCTCTAACTCTGTCTTTCTGTCTTCTTAACTGTGGAAGTTTGTCAAAATACATCAAATAGCAGGGGTGAGTGGCTGGCATCCTGGCCTTCGTCCCGTCTTTAATGAGGACTCTCAGTCTCACCGGCAAGTCCGATGATGTTGGTAGAAAGCCTTGGTAGCTGTGCTTGATCCGCTGAGGAATGCCCTCCAGTTCCCAGCTGGTAAGATCTGCGACTGTGAGTGTGTGCTGAGTTGTATTGGGGGCCTTTTCTGCGTCCACTGAAGTGATCGACGTTGCGGGGAAGGAGACGCGGCAGGGCGCCTGCCCAGCTCCGTTTCCCTCGTCTTCGGTTATAGGGAGCAGGGTGGGCCTGCCCCTGGGCTGGGTACATCCTGATCTCTCCAGGGGTTCTTGGTTTGGGGTGGCCACACGCCTCAGTTCTGGGCCCTGAGATTGTTTTTCTGTAGATCTAGAAAATTCTCTGCTACCATATCTTCAAAGATGGACTTTTCTTTCTTTTTTTAAAAATCTTTATTGTTGAATATATTACAGATGTTCCTTATTTTTCCCCCA